GAAGAGACAGTATCAAAAAGAGTTAATAAAAGGGGCGAAAGAGGGGCTGGTAAAGTTACCACAAGGAAGAATTCAGACCAAARCATTGATGTCCACTTTATATAAACCCCAAATGTATGGTTTAAATGTTAAAAAGAATTTAAAGCATAATATGTCCACTTAAAAAGCATTACAAAAAGTTAAAACACTAAAACATATTTATGAACTCTGCATACAAATTTATTGCACCTTTCTGATATTTCATCTCAGTTCATTATAATTTGTGTGAAATATTAAACATACATATTTTTCATTTTGAATTAGTCAGCAGTCCCAACTAAGCCCATGACATTACAGTTGATAGAGCATGACTGTTTCTAATGTAGTGAGGGTTCAAAGGCCACTCACACTCATCTGTTCTTACAGGAAGTTATTTTAGAACTGTTTTCTTGATTGAATGGAGGACCGAATTGGGCCAAATGCAGTAATATAATACATGAAATACAAATACTTTTTAAGTAAAGTCCTTTATTTCTACCAATTAAGCTAGCAGCCAGTGCAATGGCCATCTTTTGTTTTAGTCTGTGCACTTGGAGAAAGTCTGCCTAATGCTCAAGTAGCAAAGGCTCATGGGACATTTTATAAATTGATAAAATATGAGTTTTTGTGACCTTATAATGTGTGCAAATATACATGTGGGGTTAAATCTGATCTAAATATCCCTTGTTGTTACTTCATGTTTCCTGTTTAATCCTAATACTGTATATCAAAGATAAAGTCAGCATCATGAATGAAAACTACCTTCAGCTCTTTAGTCATTTGGTCAATAGAAATACTGTGTTTCTACATGATGACAGGTTAAAACATTGTAACTTTGGCAACTGTTGGTGGGCCAAATCAAATGGCGTGGCGGGCCAAATTTGGCCCACGGGCCCCACTTTGGGCACCTCTGCTATTGATAATATCAAAAATAACCAATCGTAAAACAGCATTTTGATTTCTTGGAATAGACTTAACCTAAATATTAGTGTTTAAAATGGAGGATTAAATATGTTAATACATTTTTTTTCATTCCGATCAACAATATGTAAGGTGTCCAAACCATTTTTAACAACTATGTCTGTCCACTGAGTTTATTTGCTTGCAGTGCAGAAGTAAACTGCAAACAACAAGAAAACAAACAGAAGCTGGAGTGGTGACGCTCAAGCTTGAATTGTTGGTTTTCCAGCCGGCTGAGCAGCAGCAGCAGAAGTCGTCATCCGAGTGGAGGAATCTTTTTATGGCTCCTGCACTCATGGCTGAAGGGAGGAGAGGAACAGTCTGCAGCGTTTTAGCCCACAATTTCATGATGGTTTCAGCGAAGAGGTCAGCCGAGCGTTTCAAGTGGCGGAGCAGCGAGAGGGCAGCATTGTAGAGGAGAGCAGGTAGCGTAATGATCAGGTAGACGATATGACATCAAGCGTACTCAGAGATGGCCCGGCACAGACAGCTGACATCCTTTCAGACAGAAGGAACCACTGAAACAAGACGAGACAAAATCAACACAGAGGAGAGCCATTAGCTCCGAGTCAAGAAGAGTTGTTATTCCCTGACAGCATCTCAAAGACACACAGTCTGAGCAGAAAATGGACAATAAATAAATATCTCAATGCATTCGTGAAAGTTGACAAATCTTTGGATTTCTGAGTAACCATATCAGTATGTTTCCATTCTTAACAGGTATGCAAATTATGCGTGCGGTGTTATTTATATCAGTTATATTTAGANTATATACTGTATATGGCCCAGTAAAAAATACACTTAAAATGCACCAATTAATTTAAAAAAGGAGAACTTTGCTGCATGTTTTATAAATTGTTGACCTCTCTGTTTATTTTTCAGCTTAGTTCTAAAAGGCACAGGTACATGTTTTTTTTTTCTTCTTGTCTTTGTTTTAAAGGGGCAATATCATGTAAAATCAACTTTTTTTAGCTTTATATCATGTTATTACATCATTCCCTCATCAAAAACATACCTAGAGTATTGCTTTGACTCATTCATGCATGTGTCTGGAATTCTGTAATGTCCTAGCTATTCAGGAGAACAAAAATGACTGGTTGGCCCTAGAACCACCTTATAGGAGCAGCTCCTTCTCTGGGCTGTCTCTCCAAGCAGAGTGTCTGCATCACAGAGCATGCTTCCCCTGTGACTCCTGCAGGCTATTGGTGGCAACAGCTAGCAAAAAAATGGTGAAACTGTCCATGCTCCTCTGCTGAGCTTGTAATATTTCTCAGTCYAGTCCTTTTCGGATCAAAAAATGCCTTTGAGGAAATGTACTTTCAGAAGCCAAGGAGATACCTTCATTCTAAGCTTCATATGGATGACAAAAAAATGGTTGGCCTTCAATTTTAGAAGTAACCCTCTGATGGAAAAATAAAATAAAACTGTTATGTGTCTGGTTCTTCAGAAAACATGCTTTCCAAGTCTGATGTCAGATCATTCAGTAACTTTTATATGTATCCTGAGTGGCGCTTTTCCAAAACCAATATTATAATAATGTTGCTGCTTTTAAAAAAATATTTATTATTACAACAAAGTACTCTTAAGACTGTCTGTAAAAGGCATTGCTGTTGTGATGACAGACTAAAATAGGCGTGACGTAAACAGTAGGAGGTTCTTAAAGAGACAGAGGTCAATTTCAAGGTRTTTAAAAATGGCTGTCAAATTAATTTCTGATTTATACAAATTGACAGAATTTTTGTAACAACTGAAGGTGACATAGTTACTTTATTTTGGTATAAAATTTAACTATATGCCTGAGAAACACATAATATTGTTGCTGTAAGCTAAACTTTAAACGTCAAGCTAAACTGAGGCAGCAAAAGCATGTACCATCAATCTGCTCAGAGGAGCTGACCCCAGAAGGGCAGCCCACTTTATTTGCATAATGAGGCAAAAATAAAGTAAATTAACAACAGGAGACAAAAATTTTTAAATGACACATGGAAATAGTTAGACTTGTGGGAAAAAACAATAACAAAATTAAATAAAAAGTTTGAGACACAAATGCATCTACAAGTAAAAGGAAAAGCAAATAATATTTTTAAAACAGTAAAATTTAAATAGTGTGCTAAAACATACAATTTGTTTCAAATGAATGAACATAAACTATTGCTGCTAAACACCATGCAAATCAACGTCGGGTACAGTTGAGGCACTTTGTCTCAACTGTACCCCAGTSATCATGTTGCACATTTCACTAGATTATGTAACGTTCTCTAATGCCATGTTGTCATGAAATGGGTTATCTTTTAGGGGACAAAAAATGTTTGCATTTATTCAAGTTACACTTAGATGTATAGATGTTGCCATCATGGACAACCCCCACAACCCTCTGCATGAAACCATGGTGGGGTGGGGTAAGGGGTGGGCTGAGCAGCTCCTTCAGTCACTTAAACATCCTCGCTGCAGGAAGGAGCACTTCCATAGGTCATTCATTCCAACTGCAGTCAGACTGTATAACACATCATGATGTCATCAGTCACTTGGACAATTCACCTATACTGGCATCAGCGATATATACACTCAAATACAGTCATTTTTGTACTGAAATTTACAGTGTATRTATGTATATAAATAGGCATATGTGTTTATGTATATGTGTATATGTGCACTGGTATATGTACATTACTATATATCACATGTGTATATTGTGGGGTAGTTTTTGTTTTTTATTTTTTATTTATCTTTCATTATTCTTCTCAGCCTCTCCTGTATTAAGCTGCAGTAATGTGCTAAGTTCCCCACTGTGGGATCAATAAAATCTTATCTTATCTTATCTTATCTTATCTTATCTTATCTTATCTTATCTTATCTTATCTTATCTTATCTT